ATATATATTTTTAAAAATTAAATATCAAATTTTAAAATAAAATAAGATATACTAATGTTTAAAACTATCATATTACTATAAATTGAAAACAAGTTTAAAATGATCATTTTTAGTTACTCAACTTCTAATATATGTATATTTTTCATCCATCCATTTTAAGTTAAGGGATAAAATGTATATATTTAGACGAACTTAACGGAGTAATTGATAAAAGGATAAAAATTACATTTTTCATAGTTGATGGACTAAAAGAGTACATAAAAAAGTTAAACAATGAAAATTATGTAAAACATTAAAGTTAAGGATCAAAAATAAAATTTACTTTTTTTAAATTTAAATTGCTTTGTATCCATCAATTTTCATGTGCCAACCAATACATTGAAATAATGATCGATACATCAAAATTTGATTAAAATAGATGAAATTTGATTGAAATGAAATTAAACTATATACTATTTCGATTTAATATAAAAATCGATATGTGCCAATTATATCAATTAATGCGATACGGTAATACTAACTATGTTGAATAGTCGTTTCTTTTTCTTCGTGTAGTTCTAATAAAGTGATTTACGAGATTTTTTTTTTTATAATCATTAATTTTTTTTGGTAAATCTTCTGTCATTAAAATTGAAATCTTTTTACCATAGATATTATTGTCATCAATTAAGAAAAGAAATTCATTTTGAAATCCAATTGGGGAATCTTAAGAAAGGCTGATACTGTGGGGATACATTATCAGAAATCGTGAATTGGAATGCTTTGGCGATCTGTAAAATAAGATTTTTTTTGTCTTTGAACTCGGACCATGGCTGCTGTCATCTCCCTCTTTCATCACGTCTACAAACCCATCCATTTTTGCTTTTCCCCAAATCCCACAGTCGATATTGATGCTAATCATCACAAGAAGGTGTAGAAAGAGATTCCCTCGAATCCTCTCAATGAAAGTGGAGAATTAAAAGGAAAGGAAGACACAAGGCGAAAGAAAGGGAAAACGATGACAGGAAACGGTGTTGGTTTTCAGGTGTTTCATGGTCTCACAATCTAAAACATGTCAGAACATTATTGGTTCGGATTACATCCCACATGGTATACGCAGGGTATTGTAGACTTTCCCCTAATGTTGTTTCTTTTGTTCACACATCATCAGGTTCTTCCTTCATTTCAACACCAGAAACTGAGGGTTTCTAAGCCATGGATTTGAGTCCTAAGAAGGGAATCCAGAAGAAGAAAGCCACCCCAGAAGCGGACGATCTGCTTGTAAAAGGGATGGATCTTCTTCCATCGGAATTTACCATCGATTTTCTATCGAGATTACCCATCACCTCCCCTGAGGAGGAGGGAAGAGAGAAGAAAAGAGTCAACCTTGCAGATGATCCTTCCAACAGAGCGACGGTCCAGATAGATCTTCATCTTCTCCCGCCGGAGATTGTGCTCGAAATCCTATAAGACTCCCGATCGCCTCCCTGATACAATTCAAGGCCACTTCCCATGCCGGCTATGATTTAGTGGCCGATCCAAGACTCCCTTCGATGTTCCGTAATCGGCTAAGCGACTCAGACCCATGTCTGATCCTGGTCGACTACAATTTCCTTCTCTCCTGGGCCTTGCAACTCTATTTTGTGGATAGTGAGGGTTGTAGTAGAAGGGTTAGGAAAATCGAACCACCACAGCATTCAGGAATTGATAAGCTGGTGGGTTCTTGTAACGGGCTGTTATGCTTATCCTTTCCCATAATCGATGGTTCATAGGTGTCTCACTGTCTGCTAATTTACAATCCTTTTGTTGGAGACGCTGTGAGAGTCCCACCAGCGAATCGTTTTCCATATCAAAGTGAAGTTTTTGGATTCGGGTTTCATCCGAGGACAGGAGAATTCAAAGTGGTCAGGATTGTGTGGTACGAGAACGACACCGATGATGAATCAATGGTTCAGGTGTTTACCGTAGGAACAACAGAGTGGAGAAACAAAGGAGCGCCGCCTCCACAATTGACGGATGAAATCGGGTCACCTGAGGCTCTAGTTGAAGGATCTCTCCATTGGGTGACTGTTGTTAGGGTAGGAGGGGTTAGTCCTATCTTAGATATTATCTCCTTCGAGCTTGCAGATGAGGTGTTGGAAGAAATTCCGCACCCACCTTGTCAACAACTTGTGTCATATGGCTACAGTCTTTCCGTGCTCAATGGGTGTCTAACGGCAGCTGGGTTGGTTGATACTTTGCATTTTGATATCTGGGTGATGAAGCAATACCGTGTTAAGGAATCTTGGGTAAAACAATTCTCCTTTGATCCCCGTTTTCCAGGTTGATGGCCAAGCGTTTTCACAGTTATATGTGCACTGAAGAATGGTGAGATTCTGTTGCAGAATGAAGACAGTTCTCTGGTTTCTTATTATCCTGTGGAAAACAGATTCAAGACTCTTCAAATAAGTGGGTTACCAAATCGGTTCCAGGCACTTCCTTTTCTACCTTCTCTTTTCTCAGCAAATGCAACCATGAATTTGCAATTTTAACTTCTATTTTTCTGTAAGACTCTACTACTAGTTTTTAGTTTGTGTTGAATCTTAGATCATCAATGCATCAGTAACAGTTTACATCATCATGGGTAACCTCTGTTGTATGGCAATGAGGCCCACCTGACTATTATCTGCCTTTTTCTGGAAAGGCAGTTCTGAAGATCGGGGAGATTGTGTTGTAGTGTAACAAGTGTTATAATGGTCCTCTTGGAATGGTGATTGAAGATTTTGCTTCGAGCTGGGTGGAAAGATTCATTAGAGTTTTTTGTGTCCTGAAAGAACAGGAAGATTGTGTTGTTAGCATAACAAGAAAGCTCTGGTTTCTTATGATCCTAAAACTAACAGGTTCAAGGCTCTAAAGATCAACCGACTCCCGGAGCAGTTCCAAGCTTTTGCGTTCCAGCATACCCTGTTCTCAGTAAAGGAAACCTTTGAAATAATCTTCACAACTCTTCTTTAGTATACGGATATATAATTTCCTCTGCTTTAGTCAGGCTTTCATTGTTTATATAATTGATTAATTAATCATGTTTTTGTAGTTATTTGAAGTTGTAAAGTTATTGATAAGATTCAATTAATTATAGGACTGAAGTGTTTGTAGTCCAAAAAATTAGGATAAAAGAATTCATAATCATGAGTTTGGATGAAGATAAACCTTGATACTATTTGGCCAAACAAAAGATAAAGTTCATCACCTGGTATTCGTTCAACAATATATGTATACATAAAGTGGACGAGTCATTATTCAATATGGATATAGTTTCTTTGATTGAAAATTGTTCTACAGCTAATGCAAATACTTTTTCATAATTACCAAGACCTTTATAAAGTTACTAATAGACTCAATTAATTATAGGATAGATATGTTTACAGTTCATTTAAACAGTTCATTTAAACAATTATGACGAGAATTCATAATCATGAGCCTGGATGAAAATAAACCTTGACACCATTTAGCCGAACAGAGGATAAAGTTCATCGCTTGGCATTCATTCAAAAATGATTAACTTTTGATATCAGAAGGAAGTCAGACCCACGAAATTAAGAAATCGAATTCATTCCATTCAAATTAATAAGTTGTAGATATATATTTAGTCATTATTATAATTATTAAATTTAAAAATCAAAATTTATTATAAAAATTTCTATTTATTAAATTCAATTTAAATATTATATATTTAGCAAATATATAAAAAAATAAAAGCAAAAAAATTCAAAACTAAAACTATACTGTACTAAAGGAAACTTAAAGATTTTAATTTGAAGTTTGGACTTCTATTCTTGAGATATACTCTACATGGATTATTAGAAACTACATATTTTTAATTGAAAATTCATAATTATCAATTATGAAAGTTGCATTAATTGAATTTGATGATAAAATATATATACTCCTACTAAATATCTGCTTTTTAGTATTCGGTGTGTCAATTTGAGGAAGTAGTATGCCAAATAAAAGAAGACTATGACAGTGATATTCCAGGTTTACATGAAAAATTGTCAAACTGGCAAAAAAAAAAAAAAATTATAACAATGAAGTAAATAACACACTATCATTAAGGAACTAAGGCAATTACCATCAATATATATGAAGGGCTATGATAATTAGAAGCAAACAATGCATTTATTTATTCATAATAAAACTGGATATTATAACATTGAGGGTATTTGATAAAATTTAAAAAAATAATTTTTTTTTGTTATAAATTTGAAATTTTATTGAATAGATTATCAAAAATTGGCTTTTAAAGGTGTTTTTAAGTAAATTTGTGAAAAATTTTAGAAGTATAATTTTTTCAAAACTTGCTTAAATACCACTTTAAATATCAATTTCTGAATTTTTCTGTAATAAAATTTTAAATAAATATTTTTTAAGTTTTGTCAAATATTCTCATTGACTTTCCAATGCACGAATGATGCTTAATTTTTTAAACTATAACTAAAAATTATTTATTATGGATGACAAGTCACATTGCAACTATGTATGCTTTTAAAAATGTAAATATATATTATAATTTTAATTAATTTTATTAAAAAATTATTTTAAAAAATAAATTATATACAATTTATCTTATAAAATTATTTAAATACTCTTAATTTTATTAAAAATATTTGAATAATTTTACAGACAAATTATATACAATTCACGTATAAAACAACTTTTTAAATTTTTGTCTACCTTTTCTCTGAACTTAGTGGCAAGTTAGTACAAGGATGACTATGGCTTCATCCTTACTATGAACTGGGTTTACTTTGATTTATTTTTTCGATGTACTTTATTTATTTGTTATTTACTTTTATCCATTGAATAAGATTTTACCATAAATGCCGTATGACTGATTTTTTTTTTTTTTCGAAGTAGAGTAACGGTTTACGAGGTCAAATGGGAGCGTAGGAGGACCATCCAAATCATTTTTTTTTTTAAACAAATGATCAAGGGAGGGGCTCGAAGGCGGTTCATGGGAGAGAGAAGAATGCAGCTCAAGTTGGCAGAGTGCCAGCTGGGCCAAAGGCAAGGTATCCAAATCAATTCCTTAGTAAAGGGGTGTTCGGTGGCTTTAACCCAATAAAGTTCCAATCTTCCACTGTGGTTTCGACGCTAAATATACGACGCCGGCCACGTTTCCCATCATTCACATTTCCTTTCTCTTTGCACAAACATGGATGCTGAAGAGGGAAGAGAGAATGAAAGAGTCAACCTTGCAGATGATCCTTCCAGCAGAGCGATGGTCCAGATGGATCTTCATCTTCTCCCAACGGAGATTCGGCTCGAAATCCTATCAATCTGATCCACTTCAAGACCACTTCCCATGCCGGCTATGAGTTAATTGCCGATCCAAGACTCCCTCTGATGTTCCGCAACCGGGTAAGCGACTCAAACCCATGTCTGATTCTGTTCGACTACAATTTCCATGTCCCCCGGCGAGTCTGTTTTGTGGATAGTGAGGGTTGTAGTAGAAGGGTTAGGAAAATCGACCCACCACAACATTCCAAAGTTAATAAACTGGTGGGTTCTTGTAACGGGCTGTTATGCTTATCCTCAATCGGTAGTTCATTGGTGTCTCACAGTCTGCTAATTTACAATCCTTTTGTTGGAGACGCTGTGAGAGTCCCGCTAGCGGACAAATATTTTGGTCAATATGAAGTCTTTGGATTTGGGTTTCATCCGAGAACAGGAGAATTCAAAGTGGTCAGGATTATCTGCTCTGAGAAGCTCTTTACTTTAATAGTGGCGCTAGATGTGGAAGAGGTGGATGAAGGATTCGACACTGATGAACTAATGGTTCAGGTGTTTACCGTAGTAACAACAGAGTGGAGAAACAAAGGAGCTCCGCCTCCACAATTGAAGTATGTAATCAGACCACCTGTGGCTCTGGTTGAAGGATCTCTCCATTGGGTGGCTGTTGTTGGGATGGGAGGAGTCGGTCCTGTCTTCGGTATTATCTCCTTCGACCTTGCAGATGAGTTGTTTGAAGAAATTCCGCACCCACCTTCTCAACAACTTGTGTCAGATCTCTACAGTCTTTTGGTACTCAATGGGTGTCTATCGGCTGTTGGGTCAGATGAAACTGGGCATTTTGATATCTGGGTGATGAAGCAATACCATGTTAAGGAATCTTGGGTAGAACAATTCTCCTTTGATCCCTATTTACCTCGTGGATGGCCAGTTAATACTTCAAGCTCAGTTCGCATACTTCTGAAAATTATATGTGCATTGAAGAATGGGGAGATTCTGTTGCAGTATAATAACAGTTCTCTGGTTTCTTATGATCCTGTAGAAAACAGATTCAAGACTGTTCAAATAAGTGGGTTACCCAGTCATTTCAAGGCACTTCCTTTTCTACCTTCTCTTTTCTCAGCGAAATCAACCATGAATTTCCAATTTTAACTTCCCTTTTTATGTCAGACTATACTACTAGTTGTTTTAGTTTCTGTTGAATCTTTGATCATCAATCAATCATATGATAATGTCTATCTTCTAGTCAAATGCTTTATCTTATTGGATATGTTTTATGATCAAACCCAAGCCAGGAAAATCTGACCTCTACCATGCCCCCTGAGGTGTAATGAGTTCATCAAAATTCAATGCATCAGCGACAGCACTGAGGTTGTAGCCACCAATGACTTTAATTTTGACTATAATTTTATTGGTTTTTAATTTTTTTTAAAAAATTAGTTATAATATTTAAAAATATCAGTTTTTAATATAATTTTAATATTTTAAATAATAAATATTAATTATTTTATAGATTATCAACTGTTAAAATTTTGACAATTTTTATTCTCTAAACAAAATTTAGGTTAGCCACGACTCATGCACAACAACAGTTGTGTTATTTACATCATCATGGATGACCTCTGTTATATGGCAATGATTTGCCTCTTTTTCTAGAGAAGCAGTTCTGAAATTAGTTCGCTCAATTTGGGGAAAGTTTTCCCTTTTGGCCGGCCCAATTTCAAGAACTTGAGAGGGAAGTTACCGAACTTTGTGAGATAAGACATTAAGAAAGTCTTCTATTGTACCCACTATGCTAATGGGGTTGTCTTAGTGGAGAAAAAAATGTTTGTTTACCATGTACTTTGCGACTAAAATACGATTTATAGATTGAAAAAATGTTCTACAGCTAATGCAGACACTTTTTCACAATTGGCAAGTTCTTTATAAAGTTACTAATAGACTCAATTAATTATAGGATAGAAAAGTTTGCACTTCATCTAAACAATTATGATAAGAGAATTCATAATCATGAGCTTGGATGAAGGTAAACCTTGAAACTATTTTGCTGAACGAAAGATAAAGTTCATCACCTGGTATTCATTCAAAAATGTATTAACTTTTGGCATCGGAAGGAAGTCAGTCCCACAAAATTAGGAAATTGAATTCATTTGATTAAAATTAACAAGTTATTGAAATATATTTAGTTATTATTATAATTATTAAATTTAAAAATAAAAATTTGTTATAAAAATTTATATTTATTAAATTTAATTTAAATATTATATATTTACTAAATATATAAAAATAAAAACAAAAAAAATTCAAAACTAAAATTATACTGTACTAAAAGAAACTTAAAATTTTAAATTTGAAGTTTGGAGTTCTATTCTTGAGATGTACTCTACATCAATTATTAGAAACTACATATTTTTAATTGAAAATTCATAATTATCAATTATGAAAGTTGCATTAATTGAATTTGATAATAAAATATATATACCCCCACTAAATATTTGCTTTTTAGTATTCGTTGTGTCAATTTGAGGAAGTAATATGCCAAATAAAAGAAGACTATGACAGTGATATTCCGGGTTTACATTAACTATATATGATTTTGCTCTTCTCCTACATGAAAAATTGTCAAATTGACAATATATATATATATATATATATATATATAACAATGAAGTAAACAACACACTATCATTAATATATTTAGTCAATTTGATTTAAAATTTTATAATATTTATATTTTTAAGATTTATTATTTTATGTAGAGTATATATTATTGTTCTTAATATTTTTTAATAATTGATTACCATTAAAACTAATTTGAAGAGCATAATTGAGATCGGAAAGAGGTTTTATGCAATAGTTTCTAGTAACATATACCATGAATTGAGCTAAAATAGAGATGAAGCAACATGATTCGTACATCATTAGTGATAAGTGGATTTGATTCTTTATATAAACTAAGAAATTTTACAAAATATAACACATTTTTATCAATTTAAATTCATATAAAGATATAATGAGTTAATAAATGAATATAGGTTTGGTATAACTTAAGGAAATATATTAAATAAGATAGAAAATCTTGCTGTCACGTGAGTAATAAATGTCTTGAAAATATATTAATCTAAATTTTATATTAATTGACTATAGTAAAATCGGATGTTTTAAAATTTTAACTCTTGATGTTATTTAGAGTTAATTTAGTTTTTTAAATTAGTTTAGTTAATTCATTCATTCAAATAATTTAATTATAATTATTCAAATAAAATTAAAATTAGTTAATTTTGATAATTTATTAGTCTACAATTTTTATAGATCGATAGTTGATTTTCATCATTATAATACTTAAACTGACTAATACTCTTCTTAGAGACAGAGTGAAATTAGCTCATCTATACATCATAGCATTAACGGAACTAATAAATATATGGACAATGATTGGTGTACACCCGGGTGTGCAGCCCCCACATAAAAAAAAAAAATTGGATCGGGTGACGGGGCATTTTTTTTTTTTTT